AAAATTGGAAGTTCATAACCCACTTGAATCTAATGTATGAAATATGATATGTCAAGAGCTTTGTAATGTTGTGAACAACCAATAAAAAATAAAATAAATAAAAAATAAATAAATAAAGGGTTCAGAATACATCTGACATATTCAGTGCTGAGTACATGTCAGCTCTGGTTATTATCATGGCTGCTCCCTGCCCCACCTTGGGCCTCCTCTCATAGGAAACACAAGAATTCTTCCCTCATCTCATATATTTGGCATCCATTACAGGATGGGGCAGTACTTTCACCATCAACTGCTCGGAGTGTGGCCAGCATGGGGTGGTAAGACTGTTCTGGATTCAATGTTTTCTAATCATCAACTTCACTGTCCCTGTCCCAGTCAACATCTCCTTCAGGATATCTGCCATCTGAGATGTGGTCAGTGCTGACCCCTCTATCCTCCTTGGCATTCTAAGGTTTTCCCAGCAACTGTCAAGGTGAACCCCAGAGTTCCTAACCACATTGTAGCTTCTTCCATCACTGTTACATGGCAATTCCCTTCATGGAGAATCTCAAAAGCTCTATCCAGCTCATGGGCATAAGAGCCCATAGAAGAGACTTTCTTTTCTTCTCACCTAGGGTTTTCTATTCTGGTTAGATGACAGTGTCCAGGATCCACACCCTGAGGTTCGGATTGGCTGCAGCCCAGGGATTGGTTTTCCTGTCATTGTTGTTTTTAACATATTTGCTCTTCAATTAACTTCTTGTAAGAAATTTAGAACATCAACTTGTGAGGATAAATTCCATTTGTTAAAGCAAAAACAGATTGCATGTGACACTGTAGCTGAGGAATAGCTTTGGCTTTTGGTAAAATTTGCAAGTCCACAGCTTTCTGATCAACCTTGAACTGCTTGGAAATTTCGTATTTCTCTTCCTTTATGTGGAAGACCTCACATTCCTGGTGCCTGGGCTTCTATAGCTTTCTTCCTGAAGTTAGCATCAGTGCAGAGTTTTGAGATTTTCATGATTCTGATAACAATTTTTGTAGAGGCAATGATGACAAAATTTTGATGTGTTCTAGGAACTGAAGTGGGGATCAAACTGCAGCAAGCCCTTGCTCAGCTGCCTTAAGAAAACCACTCTTCTTCCTCTGTGCACCCTGTGAGGATGACCAAGATGGTCCCAGGAATGATCTAACTCCCAATGCTGACTGGAAGGTTATCTTGGCATGGGTCAACAACTCTCACAGCACACATTCAGGAGGATAACATCTAGAAATTTTGTGAAGATTGATACCACCATTCTTGCCACCACTAACTAGTTTTGAGACAGTAACTAGAACCTTCTCACTTTTCTTCTCACCCTTGGATTTAGCAGCTGAGTATTTCCTCTCATACATGGCTTTTCTGGAATACATAGCAGATTAGGGAGTATCTGCCAATTTTTTAAATTAGGACAGGGTTTCAGCGGCAGTTTTTTTTTAAAAGTTGTTAATGGATCTTTATTTAATTAATTAATTTATTTATATATGGTGCTAAGAATCAAACCCAGTGCCTCACACACACTAGGCAATCACTCTACAACTGAGCCACAACCCCAGCCCTTTTTAACATCATCAATGGCAAAAACCTTCTTGGTTTCAGGTTTAATCTCCTTAGTGTTCAACATCTTGAAGATGGGAAAGAGAACCAGGCATTTTTAAGCATCTCAAGTTATTCAAAGATAGCTGGGCATGGTGGTACACATCTGTAATTCCAGCAAATCAAGAGGCTGATGAGGGAGGATTGCAAGTTTGAGGCCAGCCTCAGGAGTTTAGGGAATACCCATCTCAAAATAAAAAAATTTTTAAAAAGCCAAGGATGTAACTCAGTGGTAAAGTTATATCCAAGCCCCAGTAACACATACACACACACACACACACCCATACACACACAAACACATTCTCCTGCCTGCTACAAACTCTCCTGCCCAAAGCCCAATATATCTCTTTTGACCAAATCTTTCTTTGATCTATAATTTTGGCTTTGATCACAGCATCATGTTTATATACCTGGGAAGTTGGTAAACAAAAATGGAGATGGTTGGAGGGTGGTGATGAACAGAAATTTTGCAGGCAAACATGCTGGAAACAGGAAATTCTTTTGGCAGGACGAACAGCAATAGCTCATGTCATCTTTCCTGTGGCTGGAAATGGTATGACTGCACATTATTCTCTCTCTTCACTATAGCTGGGAAAGATTTTAAACAAAGATATAATTATGACCTTTTTATGTACCCAACCCACATAGGAAGGAGAAATTGAAAAATCTGCAACAGTGGTGAGAAGCTTCAACACACTGCTTTTGATCCTCAGCACCACATACAAAGATGTGTGTCCGATGAAAACTAAAAAATAAATATTAAAAAAATTCTCTCTCTCTCTCTCTCTCCTC